CATTTTGGTGCAATTCATTTTCCAAATTCCAAACACAAGACCCCAGACTGCTCACTGGATTTGGCAGCACTCAGCTGTAAATGTGGAGTGGGACTGAGCTGCTGCTGTCAGCTCATCTGACATCATGCCAGGGCTGCCTTACCATTGTTTGTGACAGAACAATGCCTTTCTCTGCCAGAGGAGATTTGCAGTCCCACTCTTCAGCGTCTGTCCGGGACCCTGCCAACTGCTCAGTAAGCTGAGCATGCGCTGGTCTCCCAAGGAATGCCTTCCCTGTAGACAGAAGTCACTGCAGGCTTCCATCAGACTGGCAGCTCCAACAGCATCAGCACCATGTTGTGCACCACACAGAACTAGCCATGGGCGTGATGGGGAAAGACCATCCAGGAAGAGGTCTGTTCAAATACAGTGGTCTGCATGGAGGATTTTGTTGACTGGCAAGAAAATGAATCTGACCCTCTATCACTCCAGACTCAGTGTCTCATCACAGACATTAGTTCCAGTTGTTTTTACAAGCACAACAAGGCTCCCTGAGATCAACACAGACTCTGCAGGAAGAAGATGGATCAGCTAGAACCTGGCTGCAGTAAGAACCCAGTTCTGCCACCAGAGGATAAACTGTCAAGCTCTGACATAGACCTCTCAAATCCAAACTCCTACGCCCATCTTTGGCAACAGCAGGGAAGCACCACTCAAGTTTCTATGCAGTTTGAAGGGTCATGGTCCATGGTTTGGGGTGACCATACTGGTGAATAAGAACTGCTCACAGAGTCACTAGGGAGAGAAGCTGGGCTATCACTAGCATTGAAACAGCTTGTCTGAGAGAGTACTGAGAAGAGAGGTCAGAACCTAGAAATAGGCAGCAAGCACCAATTGGGATTAAGTGGAAAGGCAAGGCTGAGGGAAGCAAGAGACAATTCGTTTCTGCAGTATGGAGAATCAACTGTGCCCTCAACTTCCACCAAGCAGGAGACCAGAGCTGGGGGCTGCCAAAACCCACCTCAGGCCTTGATGATGACAAAATTACGTGTCCTTGTGACAGATACTGAAGATCCTGGAAGGTTCCTGTGAAGAAGGAGTTTGTGAAAAGAGGCCTTGTGACTTCAGGGTCCCTGTGATTCTGAGAACAGGTGACTGAGAGACTGGATAGATTCGGCATGTGGGTAGCTTCATTGCACTGCTGCCTGGATGAGGCACGTGAATCTTCCTGCCTCAGGCCACCCCCATTGGCATGGGGCCCTGGGTCTTCCCAGAGAGTGTACAGACCAGCAGCCTTGGCAAGCAGCTCCAGCCAGGCAGACAGTGCTCTGTGCTTGGACAGCATGTGTCTAGGAAACTGCAGAAAGCAGGAGGGCCAAGCATGTGTTCTTGCCTTCCCTCCTGGATGCAATGAGGGCTGCTCTGCTTCATGACTTTTTCACCTGCAGAGCTGTACCCCCCATTACTGTTCCTATTCCTGATGTGCTGGAGGATCTCTGAAATGGACCCAATTCTCAGAGACATGAGGACAAAGGCAGGGTCATGGCAGTTTATGACATGGGTCATCGACTTCCAGAGCTTGTCACTTAACACATAAAGGCATGAGAGCCAAGTAGGTTTCCCACATTCCTGGGGAAAAAAGTAGCACTGCTTTTCTTCTCCCCACACATCATTCATTTATTCATTCATTCCATAAAGTTTTCTTAAAAGCCCTTTCTATGCTAAGCACTGGAGATAACTGGAGAACAGAATATTTGCCCTCATGCAGCTTATGATCCACTGGGGCAGGTAGGCAATAAACAAGTAGACAAAGAAATGAATACATCATGACACATTTGAATAATGAAGTGCTCTGTCCTCTTACACTGTGAGCTTTCACTGGCCAACCCTATGGAACAATTATATCATGGGAGTGCAGTAAAGTCCAGGGAGTCCCCTGATTCAGTCTTAGGCTGGATGTAATACTGTAATATTTGTAATATTTTTCTTTCCTTCTGGGGCCAATAAATGTAATGAGGGTGGTGTCATAGTTTTTAGCTGCAATAACGTGCCATATTTCTTGGCCTCTGCTCATTGTTGTTTCATTTGCCATAAAAACATCATCCTTGACAAGAGACTGGGCTTTGGATTCAGGCAGAACTAGCTTTTGCTCTCAGGTCTGGGAGCTTAGAGGGGTACTTTCTTTTTCTCCAAGTCTCAAGCACCAGTGAAGATAGCTGTAGCATCCTATAAAGATTCTCCTCTGGAAGAGGATGCATTAAGATCAGCAAGGCATTTTGCCTAGCACCTGGCACACATTAATCTCACCATGTATCTTGGCTCCTTGATGTGGTGAATGATGATGTGAACCTGGAGGCCAGCTAAACTCCCAAGTTTCTTACAGTGTGGTCTATCAGCCACCTGCAACAAGATGGTCTGATTTATTTGTAAATACACAGCACCCTCTGTCCCTGGCCCGCCCCCCGGGAGAGGGGGCAAGAACCTGCATGCTTCACAAGCTTTCTAAGTGGTTAAGAACCTTGCAGTTTAAGACTTGGTGGTCTACAACTTTAACCAGTGACCTAGGTTTTAGTTACTCTGAGAGTAAAGAAGTCACTTTGCGAGGTTGAACTCTTAAAAAAAAAAAAAAAAAGCTTTTATAAGCAAGTAAAGTCACCTGTTCTAGAACATCCACGCTGAAGCGCTTCCTGAATGGGAAAGGAGACTTTGCATCATCTAGGCCCTTAGTTCTCCTTTGTCCTGGGCAAAACCAGTCTGTTCAACACCCAAAGCACCAAAGAACTTAGTCATTCTTTCAGGAGGATGGCAAGACCCAGTTTGTGCCATTTCCAGAAATTGGCAAGAGAAGAGGTAGACTTTCCAGAAGTAGATTCCATGGCAGAGATCATTGTATGGGAAAATGTCAGGTGCACAACCTGGCTTCAGGGTCACAGTGACACAGCTAGAAGAAAAGGTGATTCTGAATCTGTCACTCAGGGCAAAGTCTAACTGCTCGGGCACATGCCCCTTGGTGAATGGCTGCAATAAAATGTGTAAAAGCCAAAGGAGCTGTCACTGGGTGTCACCTTTATCGGTGTTGACACCTTGTCACTGACAAGAGCAGCCTGGACCACACACCCAGAACAAATACTGCAGTTGATGGAAACCAAGGGGGCCACTTTAGTGGATGACACTGGTGCTCATCTGTAGGCCTGACAGTCCCTCTGCAACTGGGGATTCTGCAGCATTAGCAGGGATGGCTGTGAGATAAAGCCAGAAAGGAGGGAGCCAGGTGCTCTGAGGACAAGCTTGTTAAAGACATTATCAGCCCCTGAGGACCACCCCTGTAACACTGGAGAGGAATCTGAGAATCTCCAAAGTAAGTGACAGAATCAAGGAAATGTAAACTGGTGACTAAGGATTTAATTCTCACCATCCCCCCAAGGCTAGTGTGCTTTGGAGAAGATGGATGACATCAGTGTTCAGAGGTCGGGAAAACAGAATGAGTCACTGTACCCCTGAGGATGAACTCCCTAGTTTCTACCTCCTTGATGATATCACTGCTTCAAAGTGCAGACCACTGTGCCAGATGAAACGTTCTATTTCTAGAGGATTCACAAGGATGCCATGCTGTTGATGATGGACTAACGGACCAAGGTCATGACACTTCCAGTAGCTGCTCCGTTCAAGCTCACACTGGCCATGCTCTTGCTCGGCAGCAAGACTGTCCTCCACTGAGGGAAACACCCTCCACTGGGCAGGTTTCCTTTTGTCAACATTCTATCTGTAATTGCCAACACTAGCTTCCACACTGAGTTTTTCAAGAGTATGTGACCAGTTTTGTTTGTGCTCTTATGGAGTTTAATCCATGGAGGGGAGAGCAAAATTTGAGATACACCCTGGAGAATACTCTTTCATGCACAAATCCAAGGGTTGGCTAGACCTGAGCAGACAAGACTCTGGGGATGGTTAGACAGGTTCACTGGCACCAAGCTGGATGTCGCTTTCGGCTTGCTTCTGGAGAGTGTCGTCTTTCTTTTTCTAATTGTATGATGTGTATATGGAGATGCTTCCCACTCACCACAGGAAGGGCATTGGTTTGTGCTTCCAGAACAATCACTAATTTTCTTCTTCTTATAACCATGAACAGGAGCTACTTGGGGGCTTACCAGCATAGCTAATGCAGTCTTTGGAGGAAGGAGAAATCAAAACTCATTGGGCTGGTTTTGCTCTATTACCAAACACATCCCACCCCTCTGCCAGTGTACTGGTTTTGACCTCAGGATGAGGAATAGGCAAGAAGGTGAGGGAAGGCAGAGGGAGGACGCAGCATTCAGAAAGTAGACCTGAAAAGTCTTTATGAGGGTTCTAGGCAACTGTACTTTTACTTGCAAATAATGTCCAAAGCCTTCTTCTGTCACCTGCCCAGAAAACCTGGCCAGGTGAGCACTAGATCCTTCTGCCCAATTAGACTTGTTGGCTCAGGCCCTTGGAACTGCAATCCCCATAAAACAAAGAAACAGTGAGGGTTGAAGGATAGCTTCATTTATCCCTGTCCTCACTTTTTCAACACATCTTCTCATACATTCCCAACAAGGAGGAGAGAAAAGTGTCCAGGGTTCTCACCACCTCTGCCAGGGGGTGTCATGTACAAGCCAGCTGGCAGTAGCATGAGTTAAGACTCATGTTTCATGGAATATTTTCTTCCAAGTACAGTTTGAAAATTAAGGCTATTTATACATAGAAGTATGTGTTCTTGAAATAAGTGTTGTCTAGTAAAAGATTTAATGATATCCCATATTAAATTCAGACGATGAACTTTAAATCATTGTCCTTGGTACCCCTGAAGGATCAATTCCGGGACTCCCCACAGCCACCAAAATCCTCAGATGCTCCAGTCCTTTATATAAAATGGTGCAGTATTTATATATAACCTGTGCACCTCTTTCCCATATATAGTAAATCATGTGCAGATTACTTATAATACTTCATACAATGTAAACACTATGGAAATAGTTGTTTATAGTATTGTTTAGGGAATAATGATGAAAAAAGGTGTACAATTTGGTAGAGATGCCATTTTCCCTGAATATTTATTTGAATACACAAAAGATACTGAGGGCAACTGTCTGAAGGACTCTGCATCAGGCCAGGTGAGAGCAGAGAGGATGGAGGGTAGGTGTGGTGGGTCAGACAGAACCAAGGACAGCTATCCCAAGGATGCATCTGAACAGTTAGACTCCCACATGCAATCCTACTATGGGCAGAGACTTGAGGGGCAGATAGTGAATTTTATGTCCTTTCCGGTTATGAGAACTCTACTTCTAATAGTGGAGAAAACTGAAATCAGAAGTTTTTAAATTCTGACTTTGCAGGCCCATCCTAAAATTGATTCTCCACAAGTTTGTATTTCTATGGCTCCTCTTAGCCCCAGACTCAAAGGGGCCCTTATTATTTGTGAGCAGAAGAGAAGAAAGATCTGGAAGGTCAAACTCATGTGGCAAGCAAGAGCTGGATTCCATCTGTCTTTGTCACCACGACGCTGTCCTTTCACCCCAAGCCTGGGCAGCTTTGTGTTCCCTGGCACACCTCATCTCCACAGGTTCGTCACCTTTCTGGCCTTCCCTTCTCTTTTCTATGTATCATCTAGAAACCAGAAAAGTGCTGTGGGAGGGCTCAGCACACTCAGTTTGTTACTTCCCAGCAGGCGCACACTGGCCTACAGTGATCAGAAGGTGCCTATCATTAGAGAGTGTTATGGTTTAGATCTAGGTGTCCCCCAAGAGTCCATGTGCTCCTAGGCAGGGCTTTTGGAAGATAAATTAATTTTGGAGGTGCTATAGCAAACCTGCTGTTAGGAGGTAGGGCCTGGTCAGGGGAGGCCTAGAAGGGTATACCACCCTCCCTTGTTCCTCTTCTACTTCCTGGATGCCACGACCTGAGAAGTTTGCTCCACCCAGACTCTTCCACCATGCCTTCTTGCCTTGCAGCCCAGCCAAGTATGGGCTAAAAATGTGAGTCAAAATAAACCTCACTTCCTTTTAAGTTTTGGGCATTTACTATTTGTCCCAGCAACCAGAAAGTGACCAAGACAGGAGTTTATAAAGACATTCAGGACCCTGGAAGCAGGAAAACATATATAGATCTGAGCACCAATGTTCCATCATTTTCCCTATGTTAAGGGCAATGAGAGCAGAGATGATTCAAAGAAGCAGATGTGCACAAAAGCAAACTGAACCTTATCTTTGATATGTGCTGTCCAGTTTCACTCACTCACCGGCCCTGCACGATGCTACAGTAAAACCACATGGCTACTGCACAGCGGTGGCAGTGACTGAGGGGCAGCATGCAGAGGGCGGGAAGCAGCTGGAAATGGGTTCAGAGGTTTGCAGAATACCCTGTGACTAAAATCCTCCGTGCATGATGGTGACTCACCTGGTCCTGTCCTGGTCCTGTCCTAGTTTCCACAGACCAGAGATCAGTGGACCAGGAGAGATTTCTTCTTGCTCTCAGGTCTCACCTGGATGAGAATGAATTTCTCCTGCTGGTTGTTGCAGGGAAGTATGAGTAGAAGCCCTTCACTGTGGTGAGGCAATGCCCTCACACAGCATGCTACCTTAGGTATTCACTCTGTACTGTTTGCTTCATGACAAAATGACTAAAAAATCATCAGGCTGCTCAGGACTTGTAAGGAATATACAGTACATACTCAGCAAGATCCAAAAACCATCGCTCTGAAATTGAATGGCATTAAAGCATTAAGAGGCTTTTCTGGGGACCTGAACGTCTAATGCACATAGACATGTTTGACTTTTTCATTAACATCCCTTCTCAGAGTGAGGATTCCAGACTCATTGTGATCCCCAAGCAAAGGACAATCTTCAAGACTCTTTGGCTACAGTGTGAGAAGTCTCCTCAGAAGACAGGAACAATAACAGAAGACGAAAGAGTAAGAGAGGGAGAAAAGTCTTGTTTCCCTTTCTTGTTCCCCTTTCAGCTAAAAGGAGACCCAGGGCCATACTGGGAGCCCCTGCGGACTGCCAAGGCTGCCTCTGGCTGGGATTTGGAGGCAGCGGGGTGGTGGTGTGGTAGGTGAGAAAGCCTGTGGCTACCCCCACATGGTGTCTGGGCACCTTCCATCTGGGAGCCCCGTGAATGCCTATCAATTTTCAGGGAGCACCACCATCTCAATTCTGCACAGGTCTCCTAAAAATCAAATCTTTCCCCACCCCACCCCTGCCCATACAGGCCTCAAGTACCCAGATTTGGGCTGAAGCAGGAATCAGTGGTACTGGTCCTGTCCTAGACACCCTGAAGCTTGCTGGAAGCCACAGGATGGAGCAAAGCTGGGGACAAACAAGCAGGAAACAGAATGCAGAACAGCCCTGCACCTGGCAAAACGAGTGCATGGAGACCCATCTCATGGATGGCATTTCCCCAACCCTCTCAGGGTGAGCCAAACGCCACACTTCATTCATTGGTCAATCAGCTGTGTGGTATGTGGGTTTTGGAGCCACAGAGAAAGAGGGTGAGAAGAAGCAAAAAAGGTGGGACAGGAATCAAACGTTAGGGGTTTAACGCATAAACGATGTTTCCCTCTCCCCCCACCATGTGGGCCAGCCCTCCTGTTCAGTGTCTACGCACCCTCTTCTCACAAAGGCTCCTCAGGGGAAGGGCCTGTGAGTCCTTCTTTATGTGGTACTGACCTCTAGAGGCTTCCAATTAAAAAGCATCCCAAAGGACCCACTTCATTTCACTGCTGTTTACATCCCATGGTCTTTGTAGTATTTCCCTAGAAAATAAAGGAGGAAAATATATCTTTTCTACTTTGAACACTTCCTTGCAGGAAATGCCTGCCTTGTTTTTTGGCTAATTACTGCTTGCACAAATTCTTTTAAAATGTCACTATTTCTGATGCAAAGGAAAACACCTGAGTCTGGGTTTTCTGCCTGCTATGGGGCTAAGAGGAAAAGTATAGTGCCAGCTATTTTAAGATGCAGTTCTCCAGTTTCCAGGCTACCACATGGCGAAGACTGCCAAACAGAGAAAGGAGGATCTGTTCACCCCAATTTGGCAGGGCACTGGGCAAAACTACCGTCCAGACCTCCTGCACACTGGAGCAAGTCCACCTGGCCCAGCCTTGCTACAGGTCTGAGGCTTTTGTGCCCCTTGTGTGTACATCTACCCATGTGTGTATAGAATGACCCCTGGAGACAACGGAGACTCCCACCCAGCCTGAGTTCACTACAGAATGAGACTTGTTTATTAGATCTCTGAACCAGGGAGCTTCGTATTCCTCATTACTGATCAAATGGCCGGGGAGTAGCCAGATGGGTGCTGCACACCTGTAATCCCAGCACTCTGGGAGGATGGGATAGGAGGACTGCAAGTTTGAGCCCAGCCTGGGAAACTTAGACCCTGTCTCAAAGTAAAGAGTAAAATGCTAGGGCTATAGCTCAGGGCAAAAGCCCTGGGTTCAATGCCCAATATTGCAAAAATAAACATTGTAAAGAAGACTAAAAAAAAAATTTTAGGGCCACTGGCACTTTGGTCATCTACACCATTGGGTGGGGTCTTTTCTTTTCTTTTTTGGTACTGGGGATCCAACTCGGGACCTTGTGCTTGCGAGGCAGGCAGCAGAACCACTGACATAAATCCCCAGTCACTTGGGGTCTTCTTTTCTAAACAGAATCTTAGGTTCTAGTCTGAAGACAGCTTGCCAATGCCAGAGTTTGCCCAGGGCTGCTCCCCACCCGCCTCACTGGCTCCAAGGCCAAGGCAAGGTACATTCCCCATGTCACTGCTGAACAGAATGCAGACAAGAGTCCGTTTCACGCTTACTTTCACTGATAAGGAAACAAAGGCTGGGTGGGGGCAGAAGGGACACACCTAGGGTCACAAACCATCAGAGGAAAATCAGGGCTCAATCCTTTTCTCCTCCACAGATGATTTCAGATTGATTAACTACAAAGGGGAAATGTGGGCTTTCTGAGACAGAATATTGCTCTGCTGCCCAGGCTAACCTCAGCATTTCTGAGTTCAAGGGATCCTGCTGCTTCTGCCTCCTGAGTGCTGTGACTAATGTACCCAGTGGCATGTGGACATTTCTAACATCCAGGATTATATAACATGTAAGTTACACTATAGAATAAATCTGTAAGAGTGAACAAAGGAGCCCTCCAACCAGGAAGGCTTGGTCTGCAGCACCCTGCCGCGGTCTGTGTTGGGCCATAGGATTGGAATGAGTGTACCAGCCCAAAGCTTGGCTAAAATCATGGAAAACAGTCACAATGAAAACAAATAACACCAATTAAGTTATTTAAAATACAAGCACACAAGCCTCTATGCTGGGCCTATTAAGCTGCTCTCAAATCTAATCTCACAATCCATGGAGATCCATTCATTTGAAGAAACCAACCTGCTCTTAATCAAGCAGTGGGGCTTACCAACAACTTTAAGATTTATTATTTAAAGGCCATTGTGCAGTGAGTTACAACAAGTAGGAGAAAGAACACAATAATGGTGTCATGTCATCACAGGATGGCCACAGGATATACTCTAATTGCACCACAAAGGATTCCTAACTAGGTTAGGAAAAATAAGTCCTCTTATACAAAACTGAAGTACTAGTTCAAAGGAGGAGTGGAAATTACTAAATACCAGCTACTGCATCAGAATAGACACATGAATGGCCCTCAAAACACACAAATCATTAACCTTTGAATCTGTGTCCGTATTTGAGGTACCAACCTCTTGCCTTCCCCCAACCCCAGGTCTCCTGCCCACCCCAGGCCAATGGTCCTGGATGGGATTTATAAGGCACATAGGTGTCCTGCAGGACCAAACTTTGTAGAGAGAGTAAACAAGAGGCATATACCACCAGGGTTTGGAAGGCTCTTTAATAGCAAGCGGATGGTTAATTACAGTGTTGGATGAGATCCTGCTCTCCCGGGGAGGGAGGAGGGAGAAGATGGAAATAGGGTGCAAGAGAGGATTTACAGGGTTTGAGGCATCTAACAAAGGGCAACAGTTTTTGGCAACCCATTTCACAGTTTTGTAATTTACAAGAGATTTGTTTCAAAGGAAATATGAAGGCAAAGAAAGAACACACACCCTACAGGAAACACTTCTTGCCTAAAACAACACCAAAGCAAAAACAAACCATAACCCCTTCCTTCCCTCTTTCTCGCATTGTGGAGAGGGCTACATTTTGCCTCTCATTCACACATCAGGAATGGATCACAGATCATGTCAGATTTGTCTGTCATCGAAGATCTACTTCCTCCTCTAAGAAGGTAACACTTGGTGTACAGAGTGCTGCTCTTTATAGTACCTGGTGAGAAAATGAATCTTGAGAAAGAAGAACAAAACCAAAAAGCCCAGGGAAAGGCAGTTTACCAAGAACACTGCCAGCATCCTCTCTAGTACCAGACAACTTGAACATAGTTCTGAGCAAACTAAATGTTCATTTTTATATGGCCTAGGATACACTTTTAACTCTTTGTGCCTTCAGTGCTATAAATGGGGTTTTAAACATGAAATGTTCACTTCCATAGAGACTATAGGCTACCGTCATTCTGGCAAGTTTTAGATTATTCTGTATAAAATCCAAAAGACCTCAGCTTGTTGCATCATACAACAAGAAGGCCAAGATAAGGTCTTTATGACAGAGGGTTATTTTTTAATGCAAAAAAAAACAAAAAACAAAACTTAGGCTTCTCTACAGAAGAGGTAACCGGAAACAGCATCTCTTTGGAGTTGGCTCAACCTTGGGAAGAAGCGATCTGCCCCCAAATGCAGTTTTCCTTGTGCTCTTTCTGTAACTGTGGAGCAGGTGGAGCAGGTGGGCCCACCCTACACATCCTGACCACGGCCCCTCCTGAATCTGCCTGCTCCCCTGAAAGACAGGCTTTTCTGGCTGGCAGCTAGGTTCCCTAAGGAAAGGAGTCCCACCAGATGTGCAGGACACCTGCTCTGTCCTTGGCTGGGGGGTGTTTTTAAAGCCACAAACCCATGCCAACATCTTCTCAACACTCAAGCCTCATTGAAGAAAGGACCCTAGAAAGCCATGAAAACAGCTTTCCTGTGCCTCACATGTTGACTGATGACTGTTTTTCGTTTTTCACAAGTCAGATGTGACTTATGACCTAACTCTCCCCAGCCCCAGTTCTTCTCACACTCAGATTAAATCCTGTCTGACATCCCCTCACTATGGCTAATCAGATTTGTGTCAGTTTTCCAACCCATAAATTTTAACATGCAAAGTAGGTTCCTAAAATATACATTACAGTGACACTCTGGGGTCACAGCTCTCCTAGGACCATACACTCTGTGCTCTCATAAAACTGGAACAATATCCAGGGACACATATTATGCTAGAGAACAGCTTCTACTTGTACACAAACGATGCCAATCATGACTAGAGGAGAGAGGTTTTCACTTAAGTACACTAGAAATCCAATTCTGGCACCAGGACACAAAGAGAAGCACCCTACATAACGGACTTTCTGTGTTTTGGTCATGGGAAAATAAAATGCACCATGTATTGCTGTGAGCCTGGGTGATACACACCGAACCTCTGTGAGCGGAACTCACAGCAGCGCCAGGCACTGCATGGGGTTTTGCCTCTCTCCCTGGCTCTGCAAATGACCAATTCCCTGAAGCCTGCACACTGTGATCACTGGGCAGAGCAAAGGAGCCCGGCAGCCAAGAGAAGAGCATCTCCATGGCTCACTCACACCATGATCCAGGCTTAGTAGTGTGCTCACAAGCACGATTTCAGATGTCACAGCTGGCCACAGTGATTAACAAGCCATCGATCACCAACACCTTGTTCTCTCTCCTACACACACTCACCCATTCACTCTCTGACTTTACTTTCACTGTCACTTTCTTTCTCCTGAATGACAGGACAAAAAAGTCAAAGTACTCAAATTTTACTCTTTTCCAGCTAGTCTCATGCACATTCTCCCAAACAGAGTTAAATGTCTACCATACCAAAAAGTTAAATGTCCACCATACCAAAAAGCCCCCAGTGTCAGGGCACCAAGAAGAGCTCTACCTTCTGCAAATGAAGCAGGGACAGTCAAGACAAGTACATCTTCTGGGGCCTCCCTTCGCCTTCTCCTAAGAGGGACAAACTCCCATTAGCTGCACTGATTGGGCCCAGTCCAGGCTCCGGGGCTGGATGCTCACAGGCCAACACATTCTAAAGTGGCTTGGTGGCCATCATCCTAAAGACAGCATCTTTGGCAAGATTCCGAATGTATTTCTTGCTCCTGGCTCTCTGTGTGACTGTTACTCCTATGCACACATACTTCCCAAGGCAGGCACAGAAGGAGTGTTTAATTCCAGAAGGGCAAAGGGCCCTGATTCAGTCTAGTTAAGTCACTCCTCACAGTCATGCAGACAGTGGCAGAGTCAGGGCTAGGACACAGCTGTTCTTCCTATTCCAGTAGATGTTCCTCCCATACTATCATTGCCTCCTGGTAAATGACTCTGGTCTGGACCTTTGGGAAAGGTCATATTTCAGTTTAGGAACGATTTCCAAAACAACCTACAGGCTGCCAATCTCTCTGACCTCATGAGATGGTCTTGCTTCACAGCTCCAGAAAGAGTAGCCACAATGTGGTAAATGTAGGTAAGTCAGTGTGTGTGTGTGTGTGTGTGTGTGTGTGCGTGTGTGCGTGCGCACGCGTGTGGGCACACATGTGAATGGGAGCACTGGGAGAATCATGCACACCACTCAAGAAAAGGAAGCTTGAAAGAAAACAATTAGATTTGCTAATGACTTTGGAGTTCTGCCATGGAAAATAAGTCACGTCCAGGGTTCCTCTCTCCCTCTATTCCCCTCTCATCCCCGTCCCTGTCTCTTTGTACCTCTGCAGTAGAACAAAGCCTGGAATTTTCATTAGCTCATTGAATGGCTCAGTCTACCTCAATTCTGTTGTTATTTAGAGAATATCAACATGATAATGCCGAAATGTATTGGACAAAGTCTAAATACTTTCTTGAATAAATACATCATATTAACGTCCATTCCATTTCCAAACATACGTGAATTTAGATTTGAAGCCTCTATGTATAACATTCCAGTTTACCTTAGAATGCAAGCTAGCAGAGCTTCATTTCTGTTTCAGAAGGCATTCTTGCATCCTATTGTGTAAAAATGGAGGTTACAAACTGGGCAATAGCTACAGACTGGAGAGCTCAGCCTTCTTTGCTGGAGAGCAAGAGCCAGTGGGAACATAGCAGGGCTGCAAAGGGTGGGGTCCACTCACTCCAGGCTGAGTTCTGCTAACAGGCTACTTGAAAGAAATCCATTTAACTTGAAATTAACTGTTCATGTTTTCTAAGCAAAGAAGAAAACATGGGTACTAAAGCACAGATGGAAATCACTGTGTTGTTTCACCCGAGGACTTAACACTGCAGTACACTATTCGACCACGAACAGCTGAACTCCCCACAGCACCACTCAAACAGAAAATGCTGAGACGATCAGGTTTACATGACATGCCTGGAAGATATACAAGACTCCCATGAGTTCTGTGGCTTCAGCTACTTCTGGTTTTTCTTTTTTTTAAATTCAAAATGCTGATGACCTAATGGGCACCAGTGTGCATGATTAAGACATCCCCAACCGAGACGCTAGGAATAATCAAGTGCTATAAAGGAGGCACCACATCCTTAGGTATTAGAATCAAAGATGTGAAAAGGTCCAAGAAAATAAGTGTTGCAAATAATTCCATATTAGTGTTGCAAACGATGTACCCGTAAATATCTGTTCACTAAATGACAGCAATTGTCTCCATGAGTTATCTGAGTATCTTCATCATTAAAATGCCCCCTTTCAATCCAGCTACCCAATGATTAAAATTCCTACTTTCATAGCACTCAAAGAATTCACTGCCATTAGGTCCCTCAAAAGTACTTGATTATAACTTTAACTATATAATGTAACAGGAGCCTTTTCTTGACTTTTCATTTTTAAAGAATAAAAGATTAAGAAAGTAAAGGAGAATTCCACTGTATTTAAAAAATTTTTTTATCCTGGTTTATTTTCCTATTAAATTTATCTATGGCTTCAAAATTTAAGTGGCACTTACTTGGATTGTAGGTGTTTTCACAATTTAACAAGTTTCCACCTCATTAGAAAGAGAAGGGATAAATGTTTGATTTCATATGTAGGACGCTTTATAAATAGCTGAAAGAAGTCAATAATTTATGTATTTCACTCCATTTATATCTTCCACTATTAGACTTTAAAAGTAGCTTTGGAATTAGCATATTTTCAAACAACTGAACAAGGAAGTAACATTTACTCCTATTCAGGAAACCAGCTGCTACATATGCAGGTACTAATGGCAAAACTCTCATGGCTTCTCTGCCTCTCCTGCCCTCTTAATCCAAAGCTAAGTGATCCTCCTCTTCTGCCCTTGCCTTTGCATTTGTGCAGTTTAATGACTAGATTTTAAAACTCATGCTTTAGAAGCAAAACCTTTCACTTACGGACACTTAAGGGTACATAAAAAGTGCAGACTGCTTTTCCTCTCCGCCATGGTTTTCCTCAGCGAGGTCACCTGTGAGGACTCAAAACACACCCTTAATACATTCAGAGTTCTCTACATTCCAATCAGTGAATGTTAATTCTCCAACATAAACTCAAGAGAGAATAGGCAGCCAAAAAATGGACTCTAGATTCAAAGTGGCAAAGGCTACCAAGACAACTCCATAGAAACCCACTGAAGTGGGACTGAAATTCAGGTCACTTCTGACCAAAGCTCATCACAGATATTTTGTGGTCATGAAAAAGGTATTTCATTTGAATTTGGATGCTGGGAGCCAGACGTCCTGTTTCGAGGTGCTAATGTAAAATGCTAACCCAAGAGCACATGATCCCACCAAGAGTACCACAGGGCTCACTCTCCTTTTGCAGAGGTGCCCTTGCAGTTTTACTGCTGACTGACCCCCATTTGGGGGTGGTCCGCCTCAGGCTCCTCCTCTTCCACGTCCGCGCTGTACTCTTCAAATGCATCGTCATCTGCATCTGGAAGCCCCAGTAACTACAGGGAAAGAACAAGAGAAATGGCTGTGAGCATGAGCTGGACCATATGCAGGAAGACAAGAGGCATCACATCCAAATTCCAAGGCGCCGTGCAGGATTTAACACAGCTGCTGTGATTTCCTGAGAGACTCAATTACCCCTACCATTGTTTTTATAAACTTTCTATTGAGGAGCATGAGAATCTCTATTTTTAAGTATCAAAGCACAGAACCACATATCATGTCTGCCCACAGATACGACTCTGGGCACGCACACTCATCGGGAATGCTGGTGGGAGTGCGTGATGAGCAGACGGATGTGCTACTATCACTTCCTGTAACCCTAGCCCTCTGGGAGGCCGTGGGAGGAACTGACCAAAAGTTCAAGCCCACCCTGGACAACTAACTTGCTGATACCCCGTCTCAAAATAAAAAATAAAATAAGGGCTGGGGATGTACCTCAGTTTAAAGGCCCTAGTTTTAGTCACTAGTAGCACAGCAAAAACAGGTCAAGAATCTATCTTGCACTTATTTTCTCCCCTAAAAACATGTTGCTATTATGAAGAATACATTTATAAATGTTTATTTTATTTTCTGTTTTTCTGAGACAGGGCCTTGCTATGTAATTTGGGTTGGCCTTGGATTGACTATGTAGTTCAAGATGGCTGGCCTCAAAGTTGTGGCAGTCATCCTGACTCAGCCTCCTAAGTGCTGGGATTGTAGGCGTGTGCCACTACACCTGGCTGTATAAAAATGTTGAAACTAAAGTGTTCAACAGCAAATGGTTAAATAATTTATAGTGCATCAGTAGCAGAATCACACATATTTACTTAAAATAGCATTTTAAAATTACTTAGTTAATAAAACATAGGCAAATAAGTGCAAAAAGAGCACAGTAAAACTGCATTTTCCCTGTGACACAGATTTTCTTAAAATGTATACACAGAGGCCAGGCACAGTGGTACAGAAGCATCACAAGTTTGAGGCAGGCAAGGAAAACTCAGCAAGACCATACCTCAAAATAAACTTTAAAAAGGGCTGGGGTGGGGGGCAGGCATTTAACTCAGCGGTTTGGTGGCCTGCCTTGCAAGCGCAAGGACCCGAGTTCGATCCCCGGTACAAAAAAAAAACAAAATAAAAAGGGCTGGGGATAAGGCTCCACAGTAGAATATTTGTCCAGTAAGCATGAGGCCTTGGGATCAGTCCACAGAACTCCCACTGCTGTCACCCCCAACAGCTCCAATGGGGAAAGAGTGAGCAGGGATCTATCAGTAGCGCCTTAAATCTCAAGTCCTGGAAGCCCTGCGCACACACTCAGGACAAAAGTATCTGTGGATACGTTACTGGTCATCTTAGGAATGATAGCCAACTGCAGGCATGTGCTGTACCCTCAGAGTTCAGAGATACTGTCAGCTGGGAGTGGACGGTAGAAAAGCAAGTCTCAGACATCGGACATCGTGGCCTGGCCTTGAGTGTTTGGAAGAAAAGAGAAGCTCCTTTTTCTTATCATTGTCTTCCTTCCAGACTTTAGTGAATGGAATACAAGAGAGAGCCTGCCTTTAATGAGAGAGAAAAGATGGCTGGTCACAATGAAGGCCATTCACTACTATTATGGTGTTAATTTTCATTTGAAGAGCTGACTGAGAACACAGCAAAGTGTGTTTATCTCTCTGACAAATGAGTGATAAAGTTTAAGCAGCTGGTAAACCAGAAACAATGCTGCCATGGCTGGGAACTCCAGAACCACCTAAACACTAAAAGAAGACACAAATTCACCAGTAACTCTCACTGTTCATTGTCCTAAAGGGATGCCAGTAATGAGACTTGGTCAACAGGCTTCCTCTCACTTCGTGGACCTGATTCGTAGGAAGTGTGTGGAGTCCTGGGCTCAGAAAGCTGGGTGGGAAACATCAAGGTTAGGCAGCAGTGATTGTCAGGGATAAGAAGGGCACAGGCGAGGCATGCACATGTGTATTTGCTATCCTTCTCGTGAGAAGACATGCCACCAATGATTCTTCTTCATAGCACACCTAGGGGATAGGTGATTTCCACGGACCCAAGCCATAGCACCCCACTCCCACCCCACCCCACTATCCCTCTCCCTCTGCTTAGTAATGCCTTGTTGAAGGAGCAATGAGGCCATTACTACCTACCTTCCCTTTTCCTCTCTATCTTACCCCATATAATGCAGTAAAGGTTTGTGGGGTACTAGCCACAGAGAGGCCTTCTCTCTGGCCAGAAGTTTTCTGACGGACTGCTTGTCCAGAGCTGCTCTGTCCCTTTGCCTTAGGGGTAGGGTAGAGAAGTGGTCTTCAATGACTTTCTGCTGCAGGGTCTGTAGATCCCCTGAGAAACGAGGAGAAAAAGACTCTGGACCTGGAGTTCCCACACTATGGCTTTAGTTAGTTGGGACTTGATTCTGCTAAACTATGACCTCTGCTGAGTCTCAGCATCCTCCTCTATTAAGGAGGAACCATGACACTTGTTCTACTTCACAGAGGAACTATGCAGCTCAAAGGAGAATGGGAGCTAAAGGAGAGTTTGCATCACAGTCTGCAAACTGCCCAGCCTCACAGAAACACATCTAGTTAGGTCACCCTGCTTCCCACAGCCAGGATCAACTGCCCAGAGAGTCCCTGCTGTCTCTGTAGCCAGCCTTCAGCAGGGCTCTGTGTGTGTCTCCAGCTGTGCTGGCTCCTAGATGCCCCTTGCTGTGAATTAGGCACTATAGGAAGTGAGAAGAGGTGAATCTCACTCCATCAGTCTCTTCCTTTGATTCACAGGTTTCCATTCAGCCTTTCACTGAGCCAGACAATTTCTTCAAACTCCAGATGTCATAACAGTTAATACCATTAACTTACTCTCTGCTAGGCACTTACTCTCTGTGGGGAAGGTGCTGTTATGTCTCCCTTTACAGGTAAGAACAGAGCCAATGTTTAAACTTGTGCAGTCTGACTGCAGACTTTCCACACCTAAACACCAGGCTACCCTGGTGCTGTGCCTATTTTACTCAGAAAAATAGGTTTTAAAAATGTTGTGTTAATGTCTACATTTATGAGCAGCTTTCCAGTCTGGAAGCACACACAAACTACACAAATAGCAGAACAAGAATATGCTTGGGACTCCAAGGACATCACACAGTCAATCTAGCATTGGAGCATTTCCACCTATGTCCTATTCCCATCTGGTGGGAATAAAATAGGTTTTAAAAATGTTGTGTTAATGTCTACATTTATGAGCAGCTTTCCAGTCTGGAAGCACACACAAACTACACAAATAGCAGAACAAGAATATGCTTGGGACTCCAAGGACATCACACAGTCAATCTAGCATTGGAGCATTTCCACCTATGTCCTATTCCCATCTATGGTGGGAAAAACACGTGTGTGTGTGTGTGTGTGTGTGTGTGTGTGTGTGTGTGTGTGTGTGTATGTGTTGTTACTGGGAAATGAACCCAGCGCTTTTACATTGAGCTATATGCCCAGCCCCCCTTTTTTGTGATAGGGTCTCCCTAAGTCACTATATTGCCTAGACTGGACTCAAACTTGTGATCCTCCTGCCCCAGAGTGCTGGAATTACAGGTGTGCACAAGCATGCCTGGTTCTAATTTTAACTTCTGGATCCACGTCTTATAGTCAAGGTCTAACAGAGACAGGAAGACAAAGACACTGGAAGGATCCTGGAGTCCTTGCTTTCACTGCACCAACAAATTCTTACATGAAGAAGGAAACAGGACAAAAAAAAAAAAAAAGCTGAAGTGCCTGGTATATTTAAATTATTCCTGACAGTTACAACTACTCATTCCTATTTCAGTGAATTCTTTCAGTTGATTGAGAAAACAGAAGTCACTGCTCACTCTGGACAAAAGTGTCAGCATTTCCTAGGGCTGCAAAGCTTTCTTGAAGTAACCTAGAGTCATACAACAACAAATGCAGGGCCATACTTGAAAGACGTACTAACACCTGAGAAATAAAGTCCTTTCGGCCCAGAAAGCACAGTTATTTGTGATACTATCTCAGATCTCTGGACAATGGTGTGAACTACAATGCTGTCTGCAGCTGGCACTGTGGGCTAATATCTGCATAAAGGGGAGACCATGAGGTGCACCCTGGAGAGCACAATGGATCAGCTCTGGCTGGGGTCTCACAAGTCTCTGCCTGTGCCTTCCAAAGTAGCTCCCTTGAAGTAGCACTTGCTCTATGTGTAATTCTCACAGAAGTCTACTTACAATGAATCTCCTGACTCAAGGGTCTCAGAAGGAACCTGACTGCTTTTCTAACAAGGTCCCAAGTGACAGATACTGCCAACCATATCCTGAGGGGTAGGACTCTAGGGGAATGTAACACCATTTCTCTTAACCATCCACAGTGCTGGTGGTACAAGCCACCCAGGAAGGAATCCTGGCCTGGCCTGCCAGTCTGTCTTCTTGATATAAGAGAAAAAGAGGGAGCTGGTTAGGATGGGTACAGGGAGAAAATGAGCAAGAGTTAAGAGATGTTCTCTTACTTTCAGGAGCTACTGACTTTCCTATAAACAACACAGATTTGAATATTTATAACATGGACAGAAAACCAAAGCCATGAAAAAAATTAAATTTCTCTACACCCAGTCTCATTCATTCAATTCCACGTGTGTCTGTCTTTTTTTACCCTCAGATGTTTTTGATCACTGGGGCAGCTCCGCTCTGGTAGACCCTTCTCAGGCTCTTAACCAGAGAGCAGGAGTGGAGTCAAGAACTGGACTCTTCTGAGCACACATGATCCTCCCACGGGATGTCACCCTTGCTTCTCCAGCCACTCAGTGTTGGCAACCCCAAAACAATGTTCTTATTCACCTTGGGGAGCTGGAATTGGGGTTTTTCCTAGCAGGAAATCTCTGCTCTCTGAGAGAAGGAAGAAAGTCACACAGCAACCCCAGGGAGAGGAACTGGGCCACTGACAGTGAGAAGCCTCAGTACCCACAGGACCTAACTCCAGGCTGGGCTCTCACTGTGCCATCAAGCAAAGTAACAACACAACAG